TTGGGCCTGGGCTGGAGGAGGTGGCGGCGGTGGTCCGAGAGGTAGAGGTAGGTTCCGAGCTGCGGCTGGGATAAGGCTGGAGGCGAGGGAGGAAAGGGGCGGCCCTGACTGGCCAGCGGGGGTGGGTGGGGCGGGGCCTCAGCTGCAGCCCGGCCTAGTGGGCGGGGCTGACTCCGGGCCCGACCAACGGCGAGTTCCCATGGCCGGCGGGCTGCGGCCTGCGCAAGACTGCCTTTCCACATCCCCGCCCCCAGCTCCGCTGCTTGTTTTACAGTCCCGTCTGCTTGTGTTCCAGTCTCTCGGTTTCTCTCATGCTTGCTGGCGGTGTTGCCGCTCTTCATTTCTCGTGGTTTGTCTTTATGCCCTCGGTCTCTTTTCTGTTCCTCCCTGTATCTCTCTTTCTGTCTCCGTCGCTTTCTCTCCTGCCTTAGTCTCCCCAGCCTTGGTGCCGGCCATTTTCCGGGACTTCGGTGTCTGAGACTTGAGGGCCTGCCCCGCGCCCTATGGAAGAGCTCCCGGCACCCAGCTCTGCTCCCAGAAAGACGGAGGAGCCGGGACCCCGCGCAGGTGAGCGGGGGTGGGAGACAGGAGAGCCCTCCAAAAAATGGGGCATTATTACTGTGGGGACAGGTTCAGCAGCACCATCTGGTTTAGGAAATCCAATCTTGAGGGAATATTGAGTCAGAGCCACCCAGTCTGCTAGGATCTAAAACATAGCCAGAGAGTATTTTTGGCCAGTTCTATTTTTGTTTTCCTCCCATTGAAGGCAGACTTAAACCTTAGACCTACCATTTTAGAGATGAAGGGGAACAGAAAACCCGTCTTACTAAACAGAGGTCTGTGAGCAAAAGGAAGAGCTCTGGGAAGACTCTTCTTACTAGACAAGCGTGTGTGGGCAGCAGAAAGAGCCTTTAGCTGGGACTCAGGAGACCTGCATCTTGGTCCAGGTTTTGCTACTGACTCATTGAGTGACATTTCCCTCCCTCTGTTAGCCTGAGTTTGTCATCGGTACAATGAAGGCCGTTTGGATCTCCAAAAGCCATTTCAGTGCAGACGCCATATACACTTGTGATATACACTGAGCTCCTAGAGATGAGGCTCTGCCTTTAACATTTTGTTCTTGTTGCATAGCACAGGCCTTGACACATGGTAAAACCAAACCCGTTGCTATCGAGTCAGTTCTGACTCGGAGATCCTATAGGACACAGTAGAACTACCCAACAGGGTTTCCAAGGCTGTAAATCTTTATGGAAGCAGACTGCCACGTCTTTCTCCCATGGAGCCGCTGGTGAGTTCAACTGCCAACTTTTTGGTTAGGACCCAGTGCTGTAACCACTTCGCCACCAGGGCTTCTTTACATATAGTAGGTACCGCTTAAATATTAGCTGTTAGGGGTGAATAAATGAGATAGATAGGCCTTTTCCTGGGGTTCACTGGAGGTTGCCTCTGCATTGGATTAATTGGAGGCTGTTGAATTACAGTGTTATTATAGCATCTGAAATAGGTGGTATTGTCCCCATTTTACAACTCAGGAAACTAAAGTTCAGAGATAAAATGACTTGCTAATAAGTGTCAAAGCCAAGTTAGACTTAAAAGTCCATGCCACACTATATTCTCTCCCGATAAGAGAGCAGGGAGGACTTGATTGAAAGGTGATTATATGGAGCAGCAGTCAGTAACTTGAATTCTCCGCTACAATGAATAACTCCAAAGCAGACCTGTATCTGATTCTTCTCTATCCCTAGTTTCCAGTAGATGATTTATGTGAAATAGTTTGGATGTCAGTGCCAAAGCTGCCATCAATGTTACCACTGTTGTCAACATGATCAGCATAATCATAATAACAATTTTGTTCTAGTGATAGCAGAGCCATAAGCGAAATTGTGGAGACATCAACATTAATAATAAAGACTTTCATATATAGTGCTTTAAAGTTTATAAAGCACTTTTGAGTGGTTCTTCATGTTGATCTTCTCAGGTAGGTGTTATTGTTGTCCACATTTTATAAGTGAGAAATCCAGAACCTAGAGATATTAAATGACTAGCGCAAGGTCACACAGTAAGAAGTGGAGCTGGGACTTGAATTCAGGTCCTGTATGACAAGTTGTGCTTCCTCTTTGGTGCTCTCCTCACTTCTTCTCCCTTTGCTTTTTCCTAGTTCTTCCTCCTCACTCTGTGCCCATCCTATGCTGCGTTCTTATTATCGCCCAGAAAATTCCTGTTTAGATGTTAACTAATAAGCATGTGTTAGCTGATGATTAATAGTGTTGGTATTAACTCATAATTACTTGGCTCAGAAAAGTGTGATCTCTTCCAAGGGTAGAGAGGGATTTACATGGTTTTAAGAAGGGCAATTGTGATTGTTATTACCATCATTGGCTAAAGGATTCAAAGAATAAAACACTAAAATATTCTGTGATAATCTGATCGATAGTCTAAAAATAACAATAACTGTCATACTATGTCACAGGCCCTGTAACAGCCACTTAACTTTTTTAATTTAGTTCTGTCAACCACTCCACTGAATTTTATAGATGAGGATCCTGAAGCATAGAGAAGTTAAATAACATGCCCAAGGTCATGTAGCCCTGGTCTGGCTCATGTCCTATGTTCTGAACTATTACACCTGGCTGGCTCCAGGATGGATCTTTGCTAAGGAGAAATCTGACCCTCCCTGGCAGGATAGCCTGAATTGGGGAGAGAGGTGTACTCTAGTATCCTATGAAGAAGACAGTCTGTCTTTGCCTTTCTTGTAATTCGGTTGTTGAGAGCCCAGGATTGGGTGAGGGGAGGCCATGTGCTCCACTGCCCTCATGAGAGTAAGCCGTGGTTCTTTTCTCTCCTTTAAGTTAGGAACGTATGACACTAAATGAATCATTCATATGCCATTGATGAAAATTTCTTTTGATTGACACTGTAAGAATGTAGCCAGAACTGGTGCAACTTTTCCGTTTAATTCATTGCCCACATGGCTGCCTGAGAAATCAATTTAAAATGTATACTTGATCATGCCATTCTAGGCCAGAAACCCTTGAGTGGCTCCCTGTTAAGCGATAAAACACCTAATAAGACATCAATGTCTCCCATGTTCTAGACTCTGCTGATCCGTCCAGTCCTATCTATGCTCACAACTCTTGCACGCTACATCTCTAGAGCCATATTGAACTACTTATAGTCCCCACAGCTATTATGTTTCTGTTGCCTATAGGCTTTTCACATCTACTCCTATCCTTCTTAGACGCTTAGCTGCTCTTCATTCTTTAAGATCCAGCTCGTTCATTCATTCAACAAATATTTATCGAGTGCCTATCATGTACTAAGGAGCCCTGGTGGTGCAGTGGTTAAGCGCTCAGTTGCTAACCGAAAGGTCATTGGTTTGAACTCACCAGCTGCTTTCTGAGGAGAAAGATGTGGCAGTTTGCTTCCGTAAAGATTTACAGCCTTGGAAACCCCATGAGGCAGTTCTGCTCTGTCCTATAGGGTTGCTATGAGTTGGAATCGATGACAACGGGTTTTACCATGTACCAGTCATGGTTCTAGGGATGTAGCAGTGAATAAAATAGGTATGTCCCTGCCATTTGTGGAGCTTAAATATTCTGTGGTATGTATTGAAACAAGTGTAAGATAATCAGATGGTGATAAGCAAATAATAGAGCAGAGAAAGGACAGAAGAGTGGTCAAGGAAGGCCTCACTGATTAGATGATGTTTGAACAGAGCTGAAAGAGGCAAGGGAGTGAGCTGTGTGGCTATCTGGAAGAAGTGTTCCAGGCAGAGAATATAAGAAAATGAGGCAGAAGCTTACTTGACTCAGTTGTTACCCTCTCCAGAAATTTTCCCTGATGCTTCGATTTCCTACATGTAGCACTTACCACACCATAGTTGTCCATGTGTGTCTGTTTCCCTCACTAGGGTATGGGTTTCTTGAGAGCAGGGACCTCTGATTCTTCTCTTCTCCTCAGCACCAAGTACTCAGAAATATTTATTGAATAAATGAATAAGGCCTTATAGGCCTAGTTATTGCAGCCTGATCATTTTTACAAATGAGTTATAAGATAGGACTTGGATGGCAGATGGTTTGAGGGAAAAAAATAGAATTCTAAACCTGGGTCTCTGTGCCACTGGCTTGATTCCCTTTTTCGGCCCCTAGGAAGTAGACCACCCGGTTGTCTGAAGAAGAGTACCTGGAGATGTTCATTTTCAGCGTTACGGCAGGCAAAGCCAAACCAAACCCGTTGTCGTCGAGTTGATTCAGACTCATAGCGACCCTATAGGACAGAGTAGAACTGCCCACAGTGTTTCCAAGGAGAGGCTGGTGGATATCAACTGCCAACCTTTGGGTTAGCAGCTGAATACTTAACTGTGCCACCAGGGCCCCTGTGGCAGGCTAGCTACCTGTAAAATAGTGGATTAAATATAATGAAGTTCTTTATAGTTGAATTTGCAAGAAAGTAAGAGAAATCCTTAGGGGCTTAAGAACCAAGAGCAAACTGAAAACCAGAGTAGTTAGCCCTTTAATCTGACCTCAGCTGCCTTGAGTGTTTGCTGGTCTCAGTTACCTAGAAGCTTGGGCTTTGATAGACCTGCTGTTACAGCAAATGAAGCCACTGGCCCACAAGGGTTAGACTCCAATTGGAACAGATCCCATGTGAAGCTAGGTCCCTTGAAAATCCACACCCTTTGTTATAGGATGGACTGGGGAAAAAAAACCCCTGCTGACACAGGAAGATGACAAATAAGATTGCCTGTTAGCCTAGGTTCTAGTAGAGGGAAAAAAGTTTCCCCTGAGAATTCTTAGCCCTGGGCATTCCCTCTTAGGGATTTGGGTTTATATTTTCATTACTCGGATGGTCTAGGAACCCCAAGCCAAGAAATTGATATTAAAAACCATCCCAGACTGGTAATGTACCCAGAATGTTTGGCAGAAGCAAATGCACAGCCTCTCTGGAGAGAGACACACTTGACACAGGCTGCACAGGATTCCCACAGAGTCAGGAGAATAGATTTTTAAAATGAGAACACATGCTGCTTGCTTTGTGCTGTTGAGATGATGATGTTACCTTTGTATAAAAAAATAAGCATTTGAATACATCTGTGCCTCCTGTATGGTATGCAGAAATGAAATGATAGAACAGAACTTGTATGTAAGCCAGCATTTAGGTATGGACACACATTTAGCTGCCTTCTGTCCTTGCAGAGGTCATGGAAGAAGTGACATCGTGCTCCTTCAACAGTCCTCTGTTCCAGCAGGAAGACAAGAGAGGGATCACCTACCGGATCCCAGCCCTGCTCTACATCCCCGCTGCCCGAACCTTTCTGGCCTTTGCAGAGAAGCGCTCCACGTGCAGGGATGAGGATGCTCTCCACCTGGTGCTGAGGCGAGGGTTGAGGACTGGGCACTTAGTACAGGTGACTGCTTATCCCTTTTCTGGGCCAGAACCTCAGTTTCTGTCTAGAGTATCGCAAGATCTGTGCCTTTACCCTTCAGTGCAGGAAAAGCTCTGTGAGGGGAGCTGAGGAGGGGGAAAAATAAAAAATAAAACAATGGCTCTCATTTATTGAGTGCTAATTGTGTGGCAAAGTGTTTAAGAGCTCAGGCTGCTAACCAAAAGGTCAGCAGTTGGAATCCACCAGCCGCTCCTTGGAAACCCTATGGGGCAGTTCTACCCTGTCCTATAGGGTCGCTATGAGTCAGAATCGACTTGATGACACACAGCAATAACAATGACAACAACAACGATTGTGTGTATCGGGCTAAGCTAAAACATTTTATACATGTTATCTTATTGGATCCTCACAGCTACTCTGTAACATAGGTACTGTTGTCAGTCACATTTTACAGGTAAGGAATCGAGACTCAGAGGTTGCCACTTACTCAGGGTTGCACAACTAATAAAGCAGTAGAAGTAGGCTTCAAGCTCCATTTCTGATTCTAGAGGCTTCCATGGTTCAGGTTCTGATTCAGCTAATACGTGGTGTGCTCTTCATTCATTAGCTTCTTTATTCCTCCTAAGTCACCCAGGGAGGTAAGCATTGTTATTCCAGTTTTGCTGATGAGGGTCCTGTTGCTCCAAGATCTTGCACAAGTTCAAGATCACAACTAATAGATGGTGGGCAGGGGGAGGTTTAAGAATAACAACCTTACTACTGCTAATGCTTTATGTGAGGTACATACTATCCCCATTTTATGGGAGGAAACGGGGGCTCAGAGAATTAAAGTGACTACCCTTGGGCACCTAATAAGTGACGGAATTGCAATTGGAGCCCTTGTCCTTAAGTAGAACACTTTTACCGCATGTTTAATGGGGGAAGTTGCCTTTGTGCCTGTGGGCTATAGGGATCTCAGACCCCATTTCTCTCATTGTTACCTTCCTTTATCTCCCAGAGTTGTAGTGAGGATCAAATGAGACAGTGGATTTGAGAGTCTTTTGTAAACTTTAAAGTGCTATATAAATAATACTATAATAGGTACTTTAATCCCCCTAACCTGCCCTGCTCTTCTACCTACAGATGTCTGAAATCTCACCATTAACGCTTCATATCCACAGCTGATGCTTGTTCTGCTCTTACAGTGCAGATGCTATTCTACTCGAGGTGGGCCTTGCCAGCAACCCCTGGCCTTGCTTTCTAATGACCGTTTGGCTCACATGTCCCTGTGGGGAGTCGTTTTACTTTAGGGAATCGCCAGTACCCTGTCTTTCACCTTCGCTTGTCATGAGTCTTCCTTGTGACTTTCCATGGAGGCCCAGTCCTGCAGCCAAGTAGAGCTTGAACTTCAGTCTGTCTCATTTCCTCCAGGACAGACACTGCGTGTGGTCATGTTTCCCTGCTTTCAACCACAGTTGTGGTTAAGCAGTTCTTATCACACCACAACTGTTGTATAACCTCACTACCTGGTAGTCACACACATTCAAAAACTTGTCTACTTTAGCTCATCTCTCTTCTTTTTGTTTTATTCACTTTTATTCTCAGATTTACTTGTAGAATCTTAGCGTTAGAAAAATTATCTAGCCCAACTTCTTTCCCAGTATAGAAATCTGTGTTCCATTAGTGGGTACTGATAGCTTAGTGGTTAAGAGGACATGGTCTTTGGAGTCAGGGAAGACCTACCATTTATTGGCTATGTGACCTTGGATACTTGACTCTTTGTTCCATCATCTGCCACATGTAATAAATAGTAGTAATCACACATAGTAAGAACTCCACATTAGTCATTTTCCATAAGTGGCCTACTTGCACACTGCCAGTAATGAACTTAATCCGGTGGCAACTGGTAAAGTTTTTTTTGGACTGAGATGATACCTACTAGGGCAGTTGATCTATACATAATATAAAGTCCATTTTCCAGAAAACTGCTCTTTGAAGTGCCCAAACCATGTTCATGTCCTCTGAGTATTCTGTTTGCTGGCCTAAATAGCTTCACTTCTTTTAGTGGTTCCTCAGGCCACAATCCTGATAATGGTTTCTGGTCCCTTGAAAACTGTGATTACTGTCCTTGGCACCTGGTCTGGAATGTCAGTGTCCTTTTTCAAAGTGTTGTACTCAGAACTGAACTTAGGACTCTAAGGGTAAACTGACCAGCTCAGCCGTGAGTGGGCTATCCCATCTTGTATGCTTTTACTGCAGCCTAAGGTAAAGTAGGAGTCCTGGTGAAAATGGTTAACACACTCGGTTGCTAAACAAAAGGTTGGTGGTTCTAGTCCACTCAGAGGTGGCTCAGAAGAAAGGAATTGTGATCTACTTGTGAAAAAATCAGCCATTGAAAACCCTATGGAGCACAGTTCTACTCTGACATATGTGGGATTGCCGTGACTCAGAATTGACTCGAAGGCAAGTGAAGGTAGTGTTAAGATAAAGTAGCATTTACTTTTTTGGCAGATGCATAACACAGTTGACTAATATTGATTAGTGATCCATTAAAACCCCCAAGTCTTTTTCACTTTTGTTCTTTAATCAGGTTTCCTCATTCAGATTTTTAAGCCCAAGATGTATTTTATTCCTGAAAAATCTGAGATTGTTTGATATGTCTCATTGCTTCAGCTGGTTGAGATCATTTTAGATCCTAATGCTTTCATGCTTTGTTTACTGTTTCTTCCAGCTTCATGTCAACTTTATATTAGACATATCTGGCCCAAATAATTTTTTCCTCTCGGCCACTAAGGATGACTGAGCTTATGACTTCCCAAAACTAAATGTCCCCCCAAATTAAATTGACTTTATCACATATTTTGAAGTGTTTACAGTGCACAAGTTACTGTAGTATAGAATGGGCTGCCCCAGAGATAGTGAGCTCCCTGTCGCTAGGCTAGTTCAATGAGAGACTGAATGGTCTTTATCCAGAAGACTTAGAAGAGAATTCTCTGTAAGATGGGAATTAGCACTAGTAACTCCTGTGGTTCCTTATGGTTCTGAGATTCCGTGATCTAAGCTTTGCTTAGTAACTTGTTTTGCCTATTCATGCAGGAATTAAACAATGATAAAAAAAACTTCCTATTTTTTATTTGGATAAAATAAGGTAACACATACATATAGCTTACGAAAAACGTAAACAATACGGAAAGGTGTACATCCCATTCCCATTCCTCTACCTCCTGTAGATAGTTACTGTTTTTTCCTGTGTATCCTTCCAGTGCTGCTTCATACAGAAACAAAGAAATAAAAAACCCATTGCTGATGAGTTGATTCCAACTCATAGCGACTGTGTAGGACAGAGTAGAACTGCCCCAAAGGGTTTCCAAGGCTATAAATCTTTACTGCTGACCTTTCAGTTAGCAGGCAAGCGCTTAACCACTGTGCCACCAGCACTCCTAATAAACAAAGAAATACACGTATATATTTTTATTACTCCTTTTCAAAACTTTTTTTAATGTGAAGTAAGAACATGTGATAGAAAAGTACACAAAAGAAACGTCAGCTCAGTGAATTGTGACAAAGCCAACACTTGGGGAATCACCACCCAGCTCAAGAAACAGAATATTGCCAACACCTCAGAAACCTGTCTTATGCCCCCTTTCTCCTCCCCAAAGGTAATTACTATCCTGATTTAATAGCACAAGTTTAGTTTTGCTTGCTGTTAATCTGTGTATTCTCTTATGCGTTCTTTCTTTTGTTCAGTATTCTTGAGGTTCATACAAGTTGTGTGCAGCTGTACTATGTTTATTTTCATTGTTATATTCTATTTTATGAATATACTACAATTTATCCATTCTACTATTGGTGGGTATTTGTGTTAGCTATTATGATTATGGATAATGCTGCTGTGAATATTTCTGTTCATGGTTTTCGATACTGTGTGCATGCATTTTTGTTGGGTATATATCTAGTAGTGGAATTACTGGATCATAGGTTATGTGTATGTTTAACTTCAGAAGACAATGCCAGCCAGTTTTCTAGAGTGGTTGTCATAAGGGCTGGTCTGCTTCACTCTCATCCTTACCCTTAGGATCTAACCCGTTAGGGTTTGAACTCAAAGCGTGGAGAGTTTACCAGCTCTTCCAATTGTCCTATAGCCCCATGTTGTTGTTGTTAGGTGCCATCGAGTCGGTTCCAACTCACAGCGTCCCTATGAGTACAGCAGAGCGACCCGTTCTGTACAGCAGAACAAAACACTGCCCGGTCCCGCGCCATCCTTACAATCGTTGTTATGCTTGAGCCCATTGTTGTAGCCACTGTGTCAATCCATCTTGTTGAGGGTCTTCCTCTTTTTTGCTTACCTTCTACTCTACCAAGCATGATGTCCTTCTCTGGGGACTGGTCTCTCCTGATAACACGTCCAAAGTATGTGAGACGATGTCTCGCCATCCTTGCTTCTAATGAGCATTCTGGCTGTACCAAGGCAGATTTGTTCGTTCTTCTGGCAGTCTGTGATATGTTCAATATTCTTCGTGAACACCATAATTCAAAGGCATCAGTCCATCTTCAGTCTTCCTTATTTGTTGTCCAGCTTTCACATGCACGTGAGGCAATTGAAAACACCATGGCTGGGGTCAGGCACATCTTAGTCCTTAAAGAGACATCTTTGCTTTTTTAACACTTTAAAGAGGTCTTTTACCATGGATTTGCCCACTGCAATGTGTCATTGGATTTCTTGACTGCTGCTTCCCTGGGCATTGATTGTGGATCCAAGTGAAATTAAATCCTTGGCAACTTCAATCTTTTCTCTGTTTATCATGTTGCTGCTTATTGGTCCAGTTGTGAGGGATTTTGTTTTCTTTGCGTTGAGATATAATCCATACTGAAGGCCGTCCTCTTCACTTTCAGCAAGCAAGGTCGTGTCATCTGCATATTGCAGGTTGTTAATGAGTCTTCCTCCAATCCTGATGCTGCATTCTTCTTCATGTAGTCCAGCTTCTCAGATTATTTGCTTAGCATACAGATTGAATAAGTATGGTGAATAAGGGGATACTGCGTAGTTTAAAGTCAGGAAAGGTGTACATCAGGGTCGTATACTATACCCTAGCCCCATAAGGCTGTCAAATGAGTTGCTCAGCTTCTCAGCCTTTCAGTTTTACCTCTTTGAGAATTAGTAGAGATACCCTGGGGGAAGTGGTGGTTCAGTGGTAGAATTCTCGCTTCCATGCTGGAGACCCTGTTTGTTTCCACCAGTGCATCATGCGCAGCTACCACTCTGTCATTGGAGGCTTGCATGATGCTATATGATGATGAACAGGTTTCAGCGGCTCTTCCAGACTAAGATGGACTAGGAAGAAAGACCTGGTGATCTACTTCCAAAAATCAGCCAATGAAAACCCTGTGGACCACAGTGGTTCCATCTGTTGTGCATGGGTTGCCATGGGGGGTGGGGTGGGGTTGTGTGTGTGCTGACTTCACTGCAGCTAACAACAATAGAGATACCCCGAGGGGAGAAGGGACTGCAAATACCAGACTGACCTCTCGGAGTGACCTTTTCTCAGTTCTTGGCCTATCATTCTACATTACCTTGTTTGTTCTCTGGTGCTTTCAGGCAGAGGTTTGTGTTTTCATTTTAATATTTTATCCATCTTTTCTAGTTCTCAGTGGAAGGATTGGTCCATATTACCTAGCTTTTCATAACTGAAAGTCTCTTCCCTCCACCTTTCTTATGCAAAAAGTAACATACTGTATATACTTTGCTTTGCTCGTTTAACAATATATTACGGAGATCTTTCCAGATCAATATATAGAGGCCATCCTTTTTCACCCCATGCATTACGTGTGTTCACTATGGGGACCAATATTGTTCTCAATATTCTACTGTGTCAGGCAATGCTACAGTGAAAAATCTTGTGTGTACTTAATTGGATAAGCAGATATATCTTAGGATAAATTCCCAGAATTGGGAATGCTGAGAAAGGTTAAATGCATTTGTAATTTTGATCTTCTCTCCATTCTTGCCAACAGAGTGTTGTCAAACTTTATGATTTTGCCAATTTGTTAGATGAAAAATGCTATGTCAGTTTAATTTTAATTTGCATTTCTCTTTTATATGTGATGTTGAGCATATTTGCATTTGTTTTTTCCTCTTTCTGTGAATTGTCTGATCTTGCCCTTTGTCCATTTCTACTGGCTTTCTGGAAATATTGTTACTAACTTCTAGTTGGTTTTTTTAAAAAAAATATGTTAAGGAGATTAGCCCTGGTGGCACAGTGGTTAAGTGCTTGACTGCTAACGGAAAGGTTGGCAGTTTGAACTCACCAGCCACTCCACGGGAGAAATGTGTGGTAACCTGCTTCTGTAAAGATTCTAGTCTTGGAATTGACTTGATGGCACACAACAATAGGCCTTTGTTTGTACTATGTATAATTAGTCATTATCTCATTTGATCCTTACAACAATTCCTCTGCAAGGATAGTATTAAAGTCTCCATTTCACAGATGAAGAAATTGAGGTAAAGATGAAGTAACTTTTAGCCCGTGGTTACACAGTAAGTGATAAAGCCAGGGTGTCTCTGACTCCACACTTGAGCTTTTAATGACAGTGTTATGAACTGCTTCCCTAGGGTAGTACAGGAAAAAAAAAAAAAATCTATCTAAAATTGCCCTTTATTTGCCTAAAACTTCCTTGTTTGCCTGCCTTGCTTTACTTCCTTTTCTTTATTTTATTCTTTTTCTTTCTAAAAACATTTATTTAGCTTCAATCGTGTCCCAGATGCTAGAGATACAAAATTAGTAAGATTTGGTCTCTACTCTCAAAAGCCTCACAGTCTAGGAAGGGACAGTCACATTAAAAAAAAAAAGAAAATTACAGTGTTATATAATAAGTGCTAAATGCACGTACAAAGAGGAAGCAACTGATTGCCTTTGGTAGGAGAAGGAAGGAGTTTCATGGAAGGCTTCATAAAGGAGGTGACTTTTGACTTAGACATTGGAGGATGAATCAGGAGTCCAGATAAGTGAGAAAGAGCATTCCAGACAGAAGGAACATGTACAATATCTAGCATTGCCTCTTTCCAGCTTCATGAGGCATTTTATAGTATTTGAGAGTTTATTGAATACCTGGGTGTTAATGATTTTATAGATTTCAATATTTTTTTCTTTTCTCAAAGTACTAATGCTTTTAATGAGCCTCATGTCTTCCTATTAGTCTCTCACTCCTACTCTGTCTTTCTCTTATCTAGTGGGGGCCCCTGGAGTCACTGATGACAGCCACATTACCTGGGCACCGGACTATGAATCCCTGTCCTGTGTGGGAGAGGAAGAGTGGCCGTGTGTACCTGTTCTTCATCTGTGTGCGGGACCATGTCACCGAGCGGCAACAGATTGTGTCAGGCAGGAATGCCGCCCGCCTGTGCTTCATTTTCAGTCAGGATGCTGGCTGCTCATGGAGCGAGGTGAGGGACCTGACTGAGGAGGTCATTGGCCCAGAGATGAAGCACTGGGCCACATTTGCTGTGGGCCCAGGTCACGGCATCCAGCTACAGTCGGGAAGGCTGATTGTCCCTGCATACACCTACTACATCCCTTATCGGTTGTTTTGCTTCCGGCTTCCATGTAAAGCCAGACCTCATTCCCTGATGATCTATAGTGATGACCTAGGTGTGACATGGCATCACGGCAGGCTCATTAGGCCCATGGTGACAGTGGAGTGTGAGGTGGCAGAGGTGATTGGGAAGGCTGGTCACCCTGTGCTGTATTGCAGTGCCCGGACACCAAATAGACGCCGGGCAGAGGCTGTCAGCACTGACCATGGTGAATGCTTTCAGAGATCAGCCCTGAGCCAGCAGCTCTGTGAGCCCCCACATGGCTGCCAAGGCAGTGTGGTGAGTTTCCGGCCCATGGAGATCGCACATGAGTGCCAGGACCCTGGTGGCAAAGATGCTCCCGTTGGTGAGCAGAGCCCTCCACTAGACAGCTCATTGAGGCTGGAGCAGGAAACTGGAACACTGTCAGAATCTTGGCTCTTGTACTCACACCCAACTAATAAGAAACGGAGGGTCGACCTAGGCATCTACCTTAACCAAGCCCCCTTGGGGGCTCCCTGCTGGTCCCGTCCCTGGATCTTGCACTGTGGGCCCTGTGGCTACTCTGATATGGCTGCTGTGGACGAGAAGGGCTTGTTTGGGTGCTTGTTTGAATGTGGAATCAAGCGGGAGTGTGAGCAGATTGCCTTCCGCCTGTTTACAGACAGAGAGATTCTGAGCCACGTGCAGGGGGAACTGCACCAGCCCTAGTAGGAGCCCTGAGCCAGTTCAACACTAATTGTCTTAGGACCTGACTTCCCATAGAAAGGAGTGGGAACCAATGCCAGGACAATGGAGGCCAAGATAACAGAAGTTACTGAAGTCTGCAGAGAATTCAAAAGCTTAGTATTCTGCTCCCTACCCTGGCACAGGGCCTGGCACAGAGTATCTACTCCTCCCCGTCCAAAGAGCAAAATGGGAAATTTGCCGTAGCTACTGCAGTGGAAAAAACACTGAACTGGGAGTTGGGAGATCATGATGTGATCCTTCCTCTGCTGCTAACTTGCTTTGTGACCTTGGACACATCACCTGACCTCTCTGGGTCTCAGATCTCCATTTGTAAAATGAGAGAATTGCTTCTGTGATTTTGCTTCTTCCCATCCCTAGGAGAGGCAGAGTGCCTGGGTGCTCAATGGTCAGCTAATCCTGACTTCCTATAGCACTCTGATCTCAAAATGGAAATGGACTTATCTTTTCACATGACTCTCCCTTCATCCAGGTGTGAGGTTACAAGAGGTGTCATGGCAGGAATAAAGATCTGGATAATTTGTTCTATTTTCAATATATAAAAAAAAAAGAAACCCAGACCCTTCTAATCATGCTCAGAGCTCCATGGGCTCTGTCTCCTAGAGGAATTGGGCAGAACAGTAGAATCATGAAGTCACCTACCTTCTCCAGCTTTGCAGCTCTGCTCAGTCTTCCCTTCCTCATCCAGAAAGCATCATTTCCTTGGGAGAAAATGAGCAACTCAGTGCCAGTGGTCCTTTATTATGGTGCTTGTTGCTTCTGATGGTCTTACTCCTATGAAAGATAAACCTGAAGCTCCGGTACTGAATGGTTCCTGACGGGAAAGGGGCATCGGTTAGGACTTAAAACTTTGGACAAAACTTCCCACAGTCTTTGCCCTCAAGGAGCTCACAGTTTATGGCGTAAAATGAGGGAGAAAATGCAGGTGGTGTGGTAGTTTGTAGATGTTAGGGTGATGGTAACACTTGCTGTCATTACCTTTGTTGCATTTCCAGCGTGACTGGAGTCATCTGTCCAAGGGCTTGTCCAGGATGCGCAGTTTCTCCCAAGTTTGTTTTTCTCAGAATGTTGTCCTGACCTAGCCACTCTTTAATCCATGGAGAAAGTCTTCAGCCTTACCTTAGGAAGGTCTCTGGACCCCCAAGCCTCTGAGTTGGGCCTATTCTTTTTGACCTATTGGAATCACTGTGAAGTATGGATGCCTCTTTGTCTTATAGGTTTGGGTCGGAACTGAGCCTGTGCTAGGTATCTTAGATGATACTAGATTGGTTACTCCTATTTTAGATTGTTTTCCCCATAGCCTGTTATTATGATAGAAATTCTGTCATGAGAGATTTATTCCTTTGGGTAGGAAAGCTCTTTTGTCCCTATTTTAGGAGAATGCCTTAAGCTGGGTAATGACCACAAAGAGCAAGTCTTAGTAGTGGCATATAGTCTAGGAAGCTAGGGGTTGCAGTTGCACCGATAAGATAGGGGAGGGTCCTGTAGGATGAAAGCAGAGATTAACTTCACCTACTTCAGCGTATTGTGTAAGCCTGTAGCTTAGAATGGGTTTTAAAATTCTCTTAGCCTTTCATATATTGCCAAAGTAATCTTCCCCATACACAGTTATGATCATCCATTCACTCATTTATACATTTCTCTAAATATTTCCTGAGTGCCTGTGTATAATGCAAGGTACTTTTTTATTTTCATTTCCTGGTTGAAAATCATCTGTGGCTCCCCACTGTCTGGAAATGCTGTTTACATGTAGGACCTTCCATTAAGTCGTTGGGTCAAATGATGAATAAACACTTCCCTCTTCTTCCTTATATGAAGCCCACTGTCAGGGAATACCTTTGTCAAGTGGCAGTCGAGGGGGTTGTGGGGCTGGGGGTGGACAGAGTTGGTGGTGCAAGGGAGGAATTGGGGAATGAGAGAGGATTAAAAGGGCAGTCCCCTCCCGAGTAGTAGAAACTCCTTGTTCAGCAGAGCTTTACTGAGCACCATACCCTAAGTAAATAGGAATAGGGATATGGCTAAGTTCTACAACCAGGGCTAAAGGATGAAGAGAATGAGACTATCAAGACTTCACTGGGACTGTTCAGGAAGAGAGCCAGGGAAGGGACCTCAGTCATGCCAGTGTGGACCAGAGATGTCTAATACCAGTGTTCATAAGATATTCCGTCCATCTCTAAATTTCCTTCCCTTACTCCTTCCTACTTCGTGTTTGCTTTTCCTTAATAACCAGCAGTGAAACTCTTTAGAGAAAAGGCCTATGTGCTTATTTCAGGAATAGTAAGAAAAGAAGGTTGGGGGACAGGGAAAATCCAGTATGAGGACTGGAGAGTTGACCAGGGTGGGTGATGGCAGCTGTGAAGAAAAAGAACAGCAGATAGGCATCTTAGCACCTTCAGAGAGAGGAAGGAAGTGGCAGACACGAAACCTAGGCTGGAGAGGTGGTGTAGGTGGTGGCTGCTGTGAAGAAGAAATGACAACAGGTTGCAGCTGTTCCCTGTAACCTGTGGAAAGAGAGGCCTGCATAGGCCAGCAGCTTGGCCTGCAGAGAAGGTCCTACCCAGCTCTAACCTTAAGTTGGCTCAACTTGTCCATTCTCCAGGTGACCAACAAAGAGAGCTGTGGGCACTGCAGCCCTGTTTGTGCCTATTACCCAAGGCCTTCAGGGCCCTGGAACCTATGTCATGATACTGGTACCCTCACTGAGCCCATTTCAGTCACCCTCAGGTTGAGGGTAGAATGGAAAAGATAGGGTAGGTGATGGCAGCTGTGAAGAAAAGAGGAATGCCGACTGGAGGCCTGTATCCCTTAGGAGTGGAGCTAGGACTACATAGCTGTGGTCCCTTGCCCTCAGGTGCTCCCCACACATCCTGCTCCTTGTATTCTTGTATCTATCCAGCACACATGTATAGATATGCAGGAAAGCACAGGTAGTAGGAGCCTCCTGCTTCTGGTATTTACCCAGACCATTCTTCCCCTGACTCATTCAGCCTGCTTGTCCTGTACATGCTCCCTGGTTCCCTAATTCCTAAGCTCCTAATATTCACCTCAGACCCTTGTTTTTTGGATGGTTTATTTAGACCTGTTTCTCCTGGTCACTGGTCTCTCCTCAGATGTCCACAGGGTATCATACAGCTGCAGCCATAGGTTAGAGACATTTCACCTTGCCTGTTGGGGGGTATCCCAAGGGACCCACAGAGGTTAGAGGCTACACAGCCTCCTCCCCAGGGCAGTAGGATTTGATAACCTACACTCTGGCCAGATTGGGCTGCTCACTCTTCTCCAGCAGGCTGTAAGTTTTCCCCATTCCATTATTTAAATATATGTCAGGTCAGCCTTCTCTCTATTGCCAGATTGCACAGTCTAATCGTCTCCTTGGTCCTTACAACAGGCCACCCTTTATTGTCTGTGTTGTGCCTCTAGCCCTCTGTTAGGCTGTGAACTGATTGAGGGCCGAGGCTCTCTGACTCTTCTCTGTCCTTTTTACCTTGAATCACAGTGACTTATCTATGCTTTTTATCATATCCTGAAAATTCCATAAAGGTAAGGACTGGGTCTAATTACTATCTTTGTCCAGCATGGGGCCTGGCAGAAAGTAGACAGCAGTGAAGATACGCTGAATGAATGAGTCAAAGACCCCGACCTTCTGGATCTAAATACGGAGAACAGGGAGGAGCTCTACTGCAGGGAGGAAGATGTTGCGTCCCTCTGTGGTTTGCATAGCATTCTAAACCTGCCTAGCACTCAACCCAAAATGAGTGCTTTCTGTGCTGGCTGGCTTCCAGGTCAGTCATAGTACTTCCTGGGATAGACACTGTTCTGGCTTGAGGTTGGTCTGCCTGGATGTCCCATCTCCCAAGCACAAAACCAAGCTGAGGTCTGGAGTTCTCATTTCACTGGTTTGTCTCCTCTATCCCTGAATGGTTTTTCTATAACTGCCACTGCTCCATGACTCAAAGGGAGATGCTGGGGCCCGGTGTGTTCAAAGCAGGTCTTGGCTCTCTGATGTGAAGCGCCAGAAAGTGCTCTCTGTATCATAAAAACTACTGTGACTCTGAAACAAGGAAGATAAATAAAGAGCTTAATTACAGTCATTTCTGTTGTTAAGGAAACTGTGAGATGATTATTATCCTAATAGCTATATCTAATTTGTGCCCAGCTTCTTTCCAAAAATGAATTCGAAGCAGTATCTTGGTTTCCATAAGAACTTTTAATTTCAGAAATCTTTATTAATAATAATCCTTTGCACTTTCACACATTGTCATTTGAATATAGTTACCTATTGAGAGAAGCAGGGCAGGATTATCATGACTGGTATTATTGCATGATGTTACACAGTAGTTATTAAGTGGGAGAGCCAGGATGCACAGAATCAGCACTATATGACACCAGCTCCAGTGCTTGTCACTGCACATCTTATTCTTTCTTCAAAACACCTTGAGGTTATTTTAGCTGGAGAAGCCACAGATATTTACCTGAATGAAATGAGGTGATGGCTTTAACTTGACTCATGATTTTTATGTGACTTTCTCTTGGTTCCATTGGGATGCTTGAGGCACTACCGAATTTGCCCAGATGCTTCAGTATAACTTCTCAAGTTCTATCAGTGTGATAGTCTGCTTTCTTAAAACAAATTGACAGTTGAAGAATATTTCAAATGGGCATGTATTGTCAAAACACTGATAATCATATAAGGTGAAAGAATAAATGAAGTTCAGAAAACTGCTAGTTGACCTCTTAAAAATGGTTTTACAATAATTATTTACATAACCATTGAAAGAAATTCAGTGATCCTACCGCATTAACATTTCTATCCTATTTTTTTCATGTTTTATTCAATTGCTTAATTTTTGAAGGGCTTTGAGGCTTGAAAGGAATATGCAGTATTACAAAAACTTCAGCCCTCAATTAAATTCATCCAGTAAAACATTGAACACCTTGAATATGTAGACATCAGTACAAATTTGATAAACTGCCTTAAACATAAACACCAATTATAAATTTAGTATAGCTGATTCCTTTGAACATTTCAAACACCATAAATAGTAGATACAACATACAAATCCAACGATTGCAAAACATATCCTTATACCAAAAGTGGGGTACAAAAGAGCTGGTACAATGCATTTAACTTTGTTACTTATTGCACCTTTTGGGAGTTCTAACTTTTAAATCTCTAGGGTTTCAGTAACTGAGCCTTGAAGAGATTAAGTGACTTGGGCAAATAACAATAGTTTCTTCATCTGTAAAAACTAGGGCTGTTGTGAATGTGAAGTGAGAGAAAGAATTTAAAACGCCTAGTACTTAGATAAAAGGTAAAAAGTGCCTGGCACATAGTAGGTGTTCAAAAAATAGAGCCACGATGATTATTATGATTTTTCCTGTAGTAATAACACTAACCCATCACATGTGCACGAAGTGTTAGCAGTTTGTTTCAAACTTACGTGTACATATGAATCACCTGGAGAGGTTTTAAAAAAAGATTGCTGGGCTCCAGCTCAGAGAATCTAAGTAGATATGGGATCTGGCCTGAGAATTTACATTTCCAGTATGTTCCCAAGTAATAC